CGAATGATCTGATTCTTATTTTCAAGTTTTGTTTTGAGCATTCGGTTGTTTCTCAAATAAGAAATAAGCGCCCCGTCTCGAGTAATCGTCCTCCCTTGAGGTACCGAAAGTAAATAAGCGCCCCGAGCGTTAAATCGAATCATTATATACGGTACTAAACATTTTTAAAATTTGCTGAAATAAAAATATTAAGTTAACCATGCACTCTGTTGGATTGGACCAGCACGGAATCGTCCGGTTGGATTCGGCTTCTCGCGCGTATGTAGTCATCACCTTTTGACGAAAGGTTTTCTCTTTCTTTCATCCAACAAACCACTAGCAGTGCTACATCTCATGTAACAGTCTAAATATCTAGGCTCGATTTCCAGCCGCTGTTCGGGAAACAAGCCCGGCCGGGGAGGAACAAAGATCGGACGCGAGAGAATTAACGGCAGAAATCGAGCCTATCTAATATCTCGCCAGTAGTTTTCTTCATCTTTATTCCAGCCTTTGGACAAATTTTTCCCATGCAATTCAGGCTGACAGAATTATTATAGGTGAGTGGATTGACTGGACTGTTGCATTCAGTTGACTTCTATCATTTTCCCAGGTGTCTTGTTCCTCACACTTCGCTTATTGAGAACAAGCTCTTCATATTGTATCAGCAAATCATAATATCTTTCAGATTTAATAAACACTATTTACAAGGTCGGGGATAAAAGACTTGCTCAAGATTTGCTTTTCCTTTACCGCCTAACTAGTTTTCTTTTTTGGTGGCGGAGGGGGAGTAAGTAAGAGGGGTAAGGGGGTAAGCGGGAGAGTAAAGAAAATTGCAAAAACAAGACTTTTTACTGAAAACTGCAAGTCAGTTTCTACAAATTTCTTCCCTTCACATTCGATACCGTGAGGGGAGAAAACACACAGAAATAAACGATTGCAATAAATGAGGAAAATGTAGATTTACTGAAGATTTGAAAACAAATATTATTAAATTTTGTAGATGGACCCAATATACCTTCTTGGCGGGTTATGTGTTAATTTTCTGTATTTTTTTCTCCCTTAACTTTCCTCCTGGAGAACATCTGATTTCAATCATACAATTCCTGGTTCCCCGCGTTAAATTATACGGAAAAATTAAGCCTGGGGCTAGATAAGGTCAAAGATTATATACAATAATTTGATTGAAATAAACTTTATTTGCAGATATTTGGCCACCAAGAATATATTTTTTTTGCTAGATCACGCAATCCCTCGTAAATGAAGTTACATTATCACATCATTCCACTTCTCAAACATCATTCTATTAATTCATTCATAACGGTAGAATGTAACCTTCAAAGGAAAGAAAATAAAAAGGTCCACTGCAGTCGAACGTTAAGCTAAGTGCTATCAAGCCTTTGATGGCTCTTTCTACCGTTTGGCATTTACTATTGAAATCAGTCTTCAAGCGATTGTTCTGATACGAGTCGAGATGCTACATAGAATGCTAGCTGATCTGTTCCTTGCGCACTTCATATTGAGTTGGACTTGTTTTCATTTGGCGGGTAACAATGCTCAGTTTGTAGATTTGTTTTTTTCACCTCGGGCACATAGCGTGTCTTCCTCCGTCTACAGGTAGTGAGGCTCCCGTCATGAAAGACGACTCACTTGACGCCAGGAAAGCAATTACACTAGCTACTTCCTCCACATGACCAGGACGACCCAAGGCGTGTGTCAATTTAGAATGTTCTAAGAACTAAATGTAAATATAGTAATAAGCACTGGCATTATGCATTTCAGACAAACTTCTCGACTCTAAAAATTGTTGATGTACGTCCTTAATCTCGTTCCCAGATCTGGAGATTAGTACATCCTAAAAGGCTAAGTTCGCTACTACGAGGAGCAACTACTGTTCACTAAAAGGGTAGGGAAATCTATCATTTAGATATACCGTGTACGGGAACTGAATAAATGATACTTATTTTTTGGCTAAGGCAATGCTTGATGTTCTTCGGTAGTATTGTTCATTGACTTCATTTCAAGGGTTTAGAAAAGGGTTGGGGGCGGAGCTTCCCCGTAAAAAACCTTGTAGAGTCCCCCCCCCCCCCCCCCCCCCCCCCCCCCCCCCCCCCCCCCCNCATTTAGATATAACGTGAACGGGAACTGAATAAATGATACCTATTGTTTGGTTGAGGCAATGCTTGATGTTCTCCGGTAGTATTGTTCATTGACTTCATTCCAAGGGTTTAGAAGAGGGTCGAGGGCGGAGCTTCACCGTAAAAAAACTTTGTAGAGTTTCACCCCCCTCCACCGGGTTTGAGGGAAAAGAAAAGTGGGCAGAAAAATGGTCGCAAGAAACTTGATTGCTCGAAGGTGGGTAGAAAATTATTTTCCGTTGTGCCCCGCCCCATCAGGTGACAAACGCTTCACTTAATTATTACATTTCCGCTCGCGCGTAGTGCGCGAAAAAAATGGAGACCTGGTTACATTCTCTTCAGAAACACTCACCTTCGAGTATTCTTCGTCATCCATACCCCCTCGTTTGTGTATTTCAGTGATAATCACACCAGGACTGCGAAAAACAAGATAAAACATACTTTAACTTCAAAAGTGTAAACTAAAAATTGAACACAGAAACAGCCGAGACTCTGACTTGAAACCATCATGTTTTATAAAATACGTGAGACACTACGCGCGTGTTCATTGGTTGATAGGTGTGCTTAGATGACAGTAATAGACGAATATGACGTTTTTGATTCGCGCGAATATTGTATGAAAGCAATAGAGTACTTTTTCCGTGTTTATATAGCCTTATCTAAACACTCGGGGGGTTTGGAGAATTCTCGAAAGTAATGCAAACTCTTCGTGTCTCAGGTTTGCATCACTGTCTCGAATTCTTCGAAATCCTCACCCCACCCCCCTCGTGCTTAGATGAGGCTATGTTAACACGGAAAAAGTACTGTTAATTACTTTAGTTCCGTAACATGGCTGAGCCTTGCCATCAGCTTTTTTAAATGCAAAACTTGGCTTCACAATATCGTAACTCTAAAAATACAATGGAAGCCCGTCTTATGGCTACCACTGTATTTTGATTGATTGTGTGCCCAAATACCTCAACAATAACGGGGCAACAAGACGACAATTCCCTTTGGAAAATACAGATGTTCAAGAGGTTGCGAAAGCTCAAGCTCGGATGTAAGCCCCTTGCATTGCAGTGAGTTTCACATCAGCTTGAGATGATTTAGTCTGTGAACAGATTGTTTCATGTGGAAAAGTGAACTTTACTAACCCTAAGGAAAAGTCACTTTCCTGCATGAAGAAAAGGAATGATTAAAAACTGCATCATTGGATAAGGAAATCCATTGTTGGCTTAGCCGCCACCTTATATGAACCATTATGAATTAAATGAGAATTTACATGTTGATAACTGGGCTTTATGAATAAGAGGCGTGATGGAACTTACTTGACAGAGTTACAGCGAACATTCTTTGACGCAAGTTCTGAAATAAAACGGAAAGAAAACATTTGAGTGAAACTATCGTAATAATCAAAGCTTCCTTTTCTCTTAATAAATTATTTTTGCACAATGGAAGTAGCAAATGACAAATTACAAGTAAATTGAAATGGAGCTGCACACCATGTTTCACACCATGCTCTAGAAATATTTAAAACTTGCCATTCTTGCTCACAAATGCTCTTCACAATTCAAAACAAAGCATCACATAAAACCTAGACTATTAAATTTTCTGGAGAGCACTTCTGTGCTCTCTTGGGGGACTCTCTAAGTTGGTACAGTACCGGGGTGCATGCAATCTTAAGAGAAAAGACAAACTTGCAACTGTAACAATACTAATATGCAAAAAAAGACCAGCAAAGTTTCTGCAATTTTGTCCACTGATTTGTGAGTTTGTCTGACAGCCTGAGCCCAAAAGAGAAAAAGGCAGCTTCACCTTTGTGAAAACAACACTTCAAAACAGATGATGCTTGAATGAATGCACGGACTTGAGATCTTAGTCTGTTGTATTTGTTTTGCAAAAAGTTTGCCACACCCACCCAAAGCTGTGCACCTTGTGAGTTGATCAACTGCACTTTTAGACATGTTGTATGCAAGAACTCCAGGAAACTATAAAACAGTAATTAAGAGACCCAATGAGTGCATTATGAAAAGTAGGGATACAAAGTAACAATATGGGAAACCTACAGACCTCACAGCTGGGGTCGTGCCTAAATGAACACAAGTATAGACAAGCATGATGAAATTAACAGGATGGCAGAATGATGTGGCTTTTCTTTCAAGCACAATTTTTCAAACTTACTAAGTTTTTCATGTATTTTATTTCGTCATCACTCATCTATCCATCCTGGAATTCTTTAAATTAGATATTACAGTTTAATTAATGACCACAAAAGCATTGTTAAAAATTAATCATAAATATACCATGTAAAGAATATAACTTTTCCTTCACATCCATATTCCCGATGTACACTTATAAAACAATGGCCAGCTATGTGTTTCTGCATACATGATAAAATTATTATTGTAAATGCTTCTGTGATAATTTCAGGAGATTGTCAAAAATTCACCATTGGCAACTTTACACTTTGGGGTAGTAAGAACTGAGCTACGGATGTTGTTAATCTGAAAACTTACTGATCTCATTCCATTAACACTGGAGACATTCACAATACAACCTGGGAAAATAATGCAAACTGATTAAACAAAAAAATGAAAATACAAACAAGCGTGCCTATGAGTATGCATGGTAGCTTCCTGAATATAATATATAGATTTAACAAGCCTAAAAGCGGAGCTCCTCAGGTATTTTTTGGAATGTTGTTACTAATGAAAATAATCCAACATGCATGTGAGGTAAATTGCGAACGATTTAATAATTTCAGCCAGAACTAGTATTACATCAGCAGATCGAGGTGTAAGATGGTGTGATTATGAAATATAGAGCCATGATTTCAAGAATTTCTAGGAAGCCACCAAAAATCTTGATCACATAACAGAACTGTCTTCTGTGCTTTTTGGTGGCATTTCTTGTTCTTTTTCCTACCTTATTTCAGAAAGACAACACATTGTTATAAATCATTATATTCTTTCTTAGTTAACATGGGGGCTCCCACACAAAAGAAGTTTACACATTTTTTTGTTGTGGGGACTGATTGAAATGCAGTGGTTACAAGATACTCAGTACCTAAATCTCTACCAAATGAAATCTCGCAAAAATACCAAAATAGTATACATATGTGAAGAGTTGGAAAAGTTTTGTTTTCTAACTTGTCCACAAAGATACATTTAGCCATCTTCACTTTTGTATGGAGTCTCCTCCTGCTGGAAGGGTTTGCAATAAGCAAAATCACTCTGGCATGAACGGTAATTATGAATTTTTTTTTTTGCTGATCATGGCATACTTTTCCTTGGGTTGGCTTTGTGGGAAGTGTGGTGGCCTCATGGTTAGTGTGGTTGTCCCTGGATCAAGCGGTCTGGGTTTGAGCTCTGGCAGTGGACATTGTGTTGTGTTCTTGGGCAAAACAATTTACTCTCACAGTCTCTCTCCACCCAGGTGTATAAATGGTACCAGTGAATTTAATGCTGGGGGTAGCCCTGCAATGGACTAGCATCACACCCAGGGGCAGTAGAAATACTCCTAGTTGCTTCATGCTACAGAAACCAGGATAAGCCGCAGTCTGATGGGCCACTTGGCTCATATGCAGACTTTACCTTTTACCCTACACCTGTAGCTTCCTGACTTTATAAATTACTTTTCCTTGGCTTGTAACTGGCTTGTACAAAGACATGGCCTATTTCAAATTCTTCAGATTTCTCTTAAATTCAGAAGTTCAGGTATTACCATTGGTCAATAAATAAAAATATCTCTGATACATTCTTTATTTAACAATCAATGATACAGTGTAATAATATCATGTTTACACGTGTGACTTCTTTACCTTGTGTTTCCGTCAGATAAGGTACAGCCAGTGATGTCAGATAAAAGACAGCCCTGTAATTTGGGTGACATAGTTACATGTTTAAAAAATATATATTATAAAAATCTAATGCAAGGGTTAGAAGACATTAAAGAGTGTGCTACCTCATGTTGATCCTCATCACTTTGTCAAAGTCTTCCAGTGAAGTGGTTTCAATACTTCCTTTGAGAACTATACCAGCATTGTTGACCTGTCGATTGCAGGGAACATGCATCATTATAAGCTTATGCTTTATGGAAATGACAAAGAAAATCCCTGCCTTTTTACAATGCAACCGACAACTACAACTGCTTCACACAGTTTTATTACTAGTCCCTGAAGTTCAAATTGTAAAACATCTTTTTCTGCCATGCATTTAGCTGATTTTAAAATGGGTATTTCCCACAAAAAAAAATACTTCTGGAAATACCTACAAATTTTCCCACTGAGTCCTAAAGAAGCTACATGTAAATTACTGCAGCTTACGCTGAGTAAGCTAGTTTCCAGTCACTATCACATCATCTGCCGGTCATAACAGCCAGTTTCTGAGCACCAGTAACAGCCTTGCAATTGTGAGTTTCTTGCGTCATGTGTACTAAAGACAATTACTCAGTCAACATCTCGATTGATTTATTACTTGGTTAATTAAGTCATTCATGTGGTCAACACTGGGCTAACACTTGATTGACATCTCAATCGACACTTGATTGAAAGTTGGTCAATAGTTGGTAGAGTGTTGACCCAGTGTTGGCCTAGTTGTAATCAAGATGTTGATCAAGTGTCAATTGAGATGTCGAGTGAGTGTTGATCGAGGGCATTGATTGACACTCTACAGTGGATGCCTTTAGTACACATTATCCAGTTTCTTTAGGTTCATAGGTATGTATTGTACTACACTTGATTCTCTATGAAAGACAAACACACTCACCAGAATATCTAGTTTTCCAAATTGTTTAATAGTTGCTTCAAGAAGTGCTTTTATGTCTTCATCTTTCTCTAGATCACCTTGTACTGGAAGAACCTACATATATGTAAATGTAAACATGCATTAAAGTATTTCACTTAATAATACCCAGGGTCATTAAAGTTGTCTAGAACTAACTAAAGCAAACTACTAGCAAATATTCCCCAAATCAATCCAATCCAAAAATACAGATTAAAATATCACACAGATTTTACATCAAATATTTTGAACAATAATTATCTATCTACCTCAGCATCATTTCTATCTTCTTTGCATTTGGCTGCCACTTTGTCAAGTTCCTCTTTGTTCCTTCCCCCAAAGACAACACTGCAACCAAGTTTAGATAACAAAAGAACTGCTCCTCTTCCAATACCTGAACTCCCTCCTAAAAACATAAGAACAATAGGATTACACCTGAAGACCATCATTCAATGACTTTCAGGAGTGAAATGGGTCAGGACAAAAAGGCATGCACCTCTATGCAAACACATTTACCAATATATGGCAAGAGTGTTCCATGCAAATAAGAAAATTTCAGTCTGGATCCAAGGCTTAGGAAAAACAGAATCAAACAAATATTTATTCATTCCTCCACCCGACTGGCTTTTATTTCTTTTGTTAAGCTTAACATATATTTGCCCTAATCCTCAAAGCCAAGTTTGAATTCTAGGCCTATTAACAGTTTTTACATGATATCACAAAGCTGTGTTAGTAGCATTCCCAAAATGATGAATTTCTTCCCCTTTGGGAAATAACTTACTGGATTTTGTATGTAAAAATGTCCTATTGTTTGGGAAAACCAATATACTGCCTACATGCAGGAATGGCTCCAGACACTAATAGGGGGGATTGATGGAAAACGTGTGCAAGACTTTGCAACTGACGGCAAGACTAGTATTTCTTTTTCTTTGCAAGCCTGAAACATTTTCACATTTTAAATTACCAGATGGGACTTCAAAGTGTTTTAAATGTGAGAGCGAGATGCTCTGACTCTAGGACATTTAGATGTCATTAAGAAAAACAAACAAACAAACAATTTGGTACTTTGAGTCTTACTTAGCTTGCAAAACATTGAGACTCAGAGAAAGCTTTGATAAAATACAAGACTGTGAGCTGCACATGCATAACCACTTAAAGGAGACTGTGAGATCAGTGAAAGTCAATAAAAGTTTTGTGAAACCCATGGATTCCCTCCCCTACTCGTAAACAGTAAAAGCATTAGCTGGGTCAGTGATGAACCCGTAATGAGAAGGTCATAAGCAAGTCTCATGACCTGAATACACCATTGGAGAGCTGGCTCCCAGCAACTGGTGAAAATGTCAACAAAATAAGCTACTGTGTAACCCTAACAGTAATGAGCTAAACATTGTTGATTTAGTGCTATATTTCAGGCTAGCTGGGATGCTAGTCAGACTAACCAGCGGAGGCTAACCAGAGTGCTGTTTAGGATTTTTAGTTTAAGATGATACAATCGAACCTCTTGTAAGCAACCACCTAAAATATCAAGCCTTGGTGGTCACTTATGGGAGGTGGTCGCTTACAAAAGCTTAGACCATACTGGATCAAAATTTTACCTCATTAGCATATGGTCAATTTACAGAAAAATCCTGTACTTCCTATTGAGAAATTTCTATCTCTTGTACTACCCAGGAATGTGATATAGTTATATAATTTACACTCTATTATCTGTCAAGTGGTCACTTACAGGAGGTTAAAAACAAAAGAAAATTTCAAACTTTTAGCTCTAAAAGTGGGCGTGGTCGCTTACGAGAGGTGGTGGCTTACAAGAGGTTCCAAATATAGTGATTTGACTTGGAAACTTTTGGTATTTTGGAAAACTGGTCGCTGAGCAGAGGTGGTCACTGAGGAGAAGTGGTTGCAACAAAAGGTTTGACTGTATTTAAGGTTACAAGCAGGCTAACCAGAGTGCTATTTAAGTGCCATTCAGGCTAACTGAAGTGTTATTTAAGCTAAACGTAGTGCTATTTAGGCTAACCAAGAAGATATTTAGGCTTATATGTAGGTTAACTGGAGTGGGAGTCGCAGGGGCCTCATGGTTAGAGTGCTTGAATCCGGAGTCAGCAGTCCAGGTTCGAGCCCTGGCCGGGGACATTGTGTTGTGTTCTTGGGCAAGGCACTTTACTCTCATGGTGTCTCTCTCCACTCAGGTGTATAAATGGGTACCAACAAATTTAATGCTGGGGGTAACCCCTCGATGGACTAGCATCCAATCCAGGGAGAGGTAGACATACTCCTGGTCACTTCATGCTACTGAAACTGGGATAAGCTCCAGCCTGATGAGCCACTTGGCTCATATACAGACTTTACCTTACCTTACCCACCTATCAGCAGCTAACTATACTTGTTCCCAGTGTATTGGGAGCTTGGAGCCATTTCTGAATATTTTGTTTATCACATTAACGGCAAAACTCGGACCGGATCAACTCGGATGGTTGATTTGCATCCCACTGAATAACAATAGCAAGTAATCAAGAACGAGACATAAACAACAGTTGCTATTCTTATTCAATAGGATCCCACTTGACATGGCGCAGTGCATGGCCACCGTGAGCCACGGGACCTCTGTCTCGCGAACCCGTTTTTCGATGTCAGATCAAATGCAAGTTGTCTTTATTCTGATAATTATTTTAAAAAAGTGCAAAACACGAACAAATTAAGACATTATAACTATACCTGTTATCAAAGCTACTTTTCCAGCGAAAGATCTCTCTTGAGCAGACATGTTGCATGAACACCAGCGAACAGGCGAAATTTAGTGAGTACTTACATGAAGTAGCTTCGAAACCACGCCTTCTCCCTGACTATACTTTACATTTTCGAGGCCAAAATGCCCGAATACGAACTGGCTTTGATAACAAAACTGCTAACAAAGGTGAAAGCAGATGATTATGGTAGCTTTTCAAAGCTTCTCGGTTAAATTTTCTTTCTAATAATGTCTGGAAGTGAAGCTTTTAATAGCAAATCCTGATTATTATTATCATGAACTTTCTTTCTTTTACATATAGTCAAGATTAAATTGTAGTAAATAAATCAGATAAGTAAATACATGTTTTTTATTATACTACGCCATTAACCTCATTGTTTAAAATTCAAATACAATAGGAGGGTCTTGCTTCAGTGCTCCGCCGAACAGCTCTATTTATAATAGACAAAGGAGGGGTAGTAAAGAAAATGGAAAACCTTGGAGAGCAAGAACTGCCTTACAGAATTAGAGCACATCATGAGTGGAACACGCATGGAAGGTAATTGTAATTGCAGGATTTAATTTCAATGGATCATGCTAAGAAAAATGTAGCTTACAATACATTTTAGAAAATAGCCCATACATACATACATACATACATACATAC